GTTTGCAAACTTCTTCCCCTATCAAAGGGCTTTAACATCTTTTTTTATTCTTAAATGAAAATTGACGTTCTCGTTTGATAATGGGACTCTAGGAGCCAAGACTTTAAGAAAAATGCCAAATACCACAATACCTATGGGAATTTGCAACCCTATTATTAATAATGGGCGCCTCTCATTTCTCTTCAAGTCTCCTGAGATTTTGGTGTTTCATCTAAATCCACCCAGACTCTTGTGATCTTTGAAGGTGGGGAGACAGTGGAAAAGTACTTCCTCGGGAGAAGAACTGGTTACAAAGCGTGGATCCAGCTTCCTTTTTGAACCTCTTTAAACATTAGGTATTTTCAGGTCTAAGGTTTGGTTGCCTGCAATCTTGTTTTTTCCCCACTCCTTTTTGCCTTGCTGGTAGAATGAAGAATTTGATTTAAGGTTATATGCCTGGAAAAATAAAGCATTTAATTTACATTTTACAAGGCAGTTATTGCAGGTTAATTAAATATCAATTGAGTGTTATAGGCCATATTAAGATTTATTAATAACCCAGCAGATAAATCTCCTTGGAATTCAATTAAATGAAAATCACATAAAAATATATGTGCAATTTTATTCATATAATACATAAAACTTGTGAATTATAGTGCAGCATTGTACAGTAAGTTGATTAATGGGAATTAATTGCTGAAATAGAGAAAAATCAATTTAAACTTCCTGTAGCAGACATAAGAAGCACAGTATACTTCTCCCATACCCTTGGAAAGCTGAGTTTGTGTCTGCACTTACACCGTCGCACTCCATACCATAAGATGCATCTTGGACATAAATGTGCTGCTTCTCCGTTCACCTGCTTTAGCTCAGTGTTTTAGGCCTAAAGAAAGGAACAACTCTTTATTGCCAGTATGCCCGCATTGAGTTAATTGTATGACTGAAGATTTTAGAGATGAAGGAAGCAGCAGATTGATACTCTGGTGGGTATCCCTGACACTGAAAGTGCACAGGGGTTCGTGTCTTGTGTCACAGGCAAGATCTCTGTCTGTAAGGGAAAGGCTCGCAGGTATATCGAGGTTTGGGAGCGCTTGTACCAATGGATGTCGGGGACTTTTGCCCTTGATGCTTTTTCAAATCTCTCCTTAAGCTTTTGTAAGATAGTTAGCAATAGAAACACTGCTAGCCAGGTTGTCCGCAAACTCAGGAGCACATGGGTGTGTTGGGTTTTTAGCAGGATCAGTGAGTGGATCTAGGCCCGTTTGGGGAAGCAAAGCGTCCGACATCGGAGATGAGGTTCAGGAGCTGGACTTGGAAAATATCTTTCCAATATTTGCAGAACGATTGAGGCCTGGCGTGCTGCCATTCTGTTCCCTGCGCATCCTGTGTTAAATACTGTCAATATGAGATTATGTTCCAATTACAGTACCAGACTGACTGGTTTAACTCCTACCATGAATCTATTTTCCTTTATTACTATGTACTAACTATGTGACTGATGTACCAGACACCAAAAGAGATGGTCTTTGCCCAGAGGGCTTTGTCTAAAAGAAACATGCCGGGAGAATGCAGAACGCAACAGAAAATGCAGATGAATGAGTAACTCGGCTGAGATTTTCTTTTTAATTTGGGGATTCTTTGCTTGTTTGTGTGTTTGGCTTGAGTTTTAACATTACTAAACTTGCTTCCTTCAGACATTGCACAAGAACAGACTTCCACAGAAACTCAAACAGGGTTAGGCATGCGGCTCTTTGAAGTGTGTGTGTGTGCGTGCGTGCGTGTGTGTGTTGGGGGGGTGAATGCTGAGCGCACACATGGGAACGTTGGAGGATGGAAAACGAAGGGAGAACCACGTTCCAGCTCAGACGACAACTCCAGCAGACACCATGGCTCGTGCTGGGGAAGTTTAGCTGTGTTTAAAATACAGCAGGTGTCTTTCTGTCAATGCACTCCTTGCTCATCCTCCCTGCTCCTCTGGTAGAGAATGCGTGCATCTGTCTCCTCTGTGCTTCATCTCTGCTTCTCCCTGCAATTGTCAGGGATATTAGCATTAAATACTTACTGCCTGGCTTAACTAAGGGGTAAGATAGGATTTAATTTGTATGGCTGAAATCCAATTATATAATGGAGCCCCTGGGGGAAGCAGTTATACCTGCTGAATCTCTTGGATGAGTAATTGTGCACAAAGGCTGCTCTCCAGAAGTAGAAACAGATCTGAAGTATTTTTTTTTTCCTCTTTTTGTGCTGCTGCTGTTACATAATAGCGCTGAGACCCTGAAAAGAAAAGCCAATGACAACCCACTGCAGTAGAAAGAATTAAAGCATTGCCAGGAGAAAACAAGTTATAATCTGATAAAATCAAGGATCTAACAGGAAGTCTGCAGCAGCATTAGCTTGGAGGAGCCAGAATGCAGGGCAGCCAAAGGAAGCTTACTCAACTTTTTGGAAAAGAGCACAGAGGCTTTGCTGTCTAACTTTTCCCCCCACTTCTACCATGAGCAGGGAAAGGGAATCCTCTACTTGCTTTTGTCAAGGCTCAGGAGGTGGGTAGGTATAAAAAAAGCTAAGCAGCCAACAAATTCAGACCCTTTTGAAAAATCCTGCACTTAACTGCCTTTAAAAATCCCTGCTCCTTATCCAGCATGTCATCTGCATGTTGATAAGCGTCAAAATCATAGGTGATGTTGAGCAGGACAGGAACAAAAGCATGATGAGGTTCCCAGCAAGGTTTCTGAAAGCAGGCGAGCTTGTAAAGCATTGATCTCTGGGATAGTACTGGGCCTTGACAACTGTCCCATCTGATACCTTCAGCAGCTCCAAATCCCACAAAGGAATATACCGAGGGCTCTGAATGGGACTGAAAGCATCAGCTTTTATACTTAGGCAAGTTTTCTCAAAGGTCAGAGTACCATATTTAATTCTATTTTTAAAAACAGAAAGCAAACTTTTATTCTTTTCTAATGAGTTCTGAGTGGAAAAATAATTTTCTTAGTCTCTTTGATTACATGACTGTGTGAAGATAAACGACGACTGTGTCCAGCCAGCCGAGGGAAGCCCAAAACTCCAAATGCCACAGACTGAGGACAAACCTGGATGGTCAGGCACCCCCACGCCATCCATCAGCCTCGCCGTCTGGGCAGGTCTTTCAATTCTTTTAAAAACAGCTAAAGCAAAAGCGGTTGCAACACTTGAACTCACGAGGGGAAGGTACCTGTCTCACAGACTTGCAGCTCCACCCAGTGGCTCTTTGTTGGCAAGATAAAACCAAGGTTTCAGAAGTATTAAAACCTGTTGAGGTCAACGTTGTTATACTGTGGTGATGCTCTGGCAACGTGCATGAGAAATTGGGTGTATATTTCTTTGTCAAATTCTTAGCAAGCTGTCATCTACCAGTTGAATAATGGCAAAAAACTGCAAAGAGAATTTTTAGTGAAATAGAAAACACAGCAATCTTATTACTCCCTTTCTTAAAAGCCTCGCAGCACAAATGGTAGGAGAAAAAAATGTAGGGAACTGATAACTTACACACTTCGTCTTCCCAAATTCTCTATTAGCAGATTGCAATAGTTTCCCCCATTTGTTATATGAAATTATTAATGAGTTACCAGAGCAAATGATTTTTGATTTGTAAGTTCATTTTGCAAAGAATTCTCTTGTGAGTGTGAATTTCAGTGAAGTTAACTTGGCAACTCACACTGTATTGCTTTGCTTTCCTTCCTGGGTAATTACTGTAACTAACAAGAAGCGAATTTTGATCATTTCTATCAAGGATGCCATGCTGAAACTTGCTTTTTCCAGGAGGATTAGGGAACTTGTAATTAAAATAATCTTTTATTTGTGCATGTGTATACTTTTACTGTAGGAAAACTCGAGAGATGGGTACGTATTCACAGAACACAGAAGTGTGATACCAACAGAATTAATTTTAGATTTGAACCAGTACTGTAAAAATACCCCATTCCTCCAAGCTCAAGTGAAAACTGAAATCTCTATTGTGCTTAATGTAGGTTTACCAGTCTCTCTGTACGTCTTAAAAATAGAGGAGCTGATAAACCGATACAAACCACAGTTTTTGTTGTGACTCTTCTGGAAGTGCCTGCCCCATCTGTGTTAAGAAAATATCGTCGGTGAATACTGCTCCCAGATGGACTGTGTAGCTCCAGTGCCATGGAATGAGTTGAAATGACCTCTTCCTCCTGAAGTTCAGATGTTATTTAGCATAAACGCAGCCCCTAAGGCCTTCACTGAAGTTGCTGTTTGCCAGTGCAGCAGCTGAACATGGGCTTTAATTTGTTTTGCTTTGCTGCTAGAGTTCTGTGAGGGAAGAAAATTTGAGTTACAAACTATATGAATCCCACCTCTAAGCTTGTAGACATCAGTTTTCCATCCATACGATTAGAAAGTAAGTCAGCCTGTAAATTGTTAGCACAAGAGATTGGAAGTTTCTTTTTACAGGGATAGTATTTCAAAGCATATAATATTCCATATGTTAAGAATAACAGGAAGCATCTTGAAAAAGGTAGCTCTGGAAAAGAGAATTCTTTTTTCTTTTTATTAAACCCCAAAACAGAGCAAGAACTTGCTGGGCTTTCCTTGCCTTCACCAAAATTATCGCTGAAGACCCCTTGAGTGTATGAGCCAGGTACAGCCATCCCACCAGCTGCCCGAGACCATGGCAAGGGAGAGGTCCATTTGCTGAGTATGGAAAAAGATGGAGACTCGTCAGGCTGTGGAACAAAACCGGTTAACTAATTTTATCAGAAAGGTGTTTGCTGTGCACCATCTCTCATCTGAACCTGTCTCTCTTGTTCCCCTGAGTGATCCCCGTGCAGCAGTGGCACTGTGGGAATGAGTGAGGCCAGCAAGCCCTGCGTCTGTGTGCACGTACCGGCAAGAGGCTGCTTTCAAACGCACCCTGGTGTTTCATATGACACTTAAAATAGCTGAGTTGTTGGCATGGCAAGGGTATATATTTGCAGCCTGAGAGTTTTGCTCTTTCTCTGTTTCTGTATCAGGATTTCTCAGTGTTTGCAAAATTTCTGCCAAAGATCCGTGCACGTCGTGAAGTTCAGATGAAACTTGCTGGTGTGATAAGCTCTCTCCTTACCCCAAACATGCTGCTTAGTTCTTCTTTCATGAAGTTGGGGGGGTTCCATGTTCCCTGCAGCTGCTTTCAACCACTGTGCAGTTCTGTGCTTGCTCTCTTTCCCAGTGAAGAGGGGTTTGTACCCAAAATGCCTGGAGGCTTTGTCTGTCTCATAGGAGAAGGTGGTGACTATCGTGTTCAGTAAAGGCAAGTTTAGGAAAGGCTGTGGCTTCCAGAAAGGGTACAAGATGACCTTGATTATCCTGTGCAATTGTATCATTAACCACATCTTCCAGTAAGGGATGTGTGAGCCTAGTCTCACTGAGGGGTCCGTAGAAGACAACAGCTGATGCCTGATCAGAAAACCTTTTCTTGTTGGAGTGTCATCATAGGAATAATACACTTGTCTGGCGAGTAAGTCTGGTTTCAGCTGCAAGTTCCTCGCTGCAAGAACATGCATCCATGCAACATTCCCTGGAGAAATAAGGGAGAGAAGCAGGTATTCGGGAGAAGCTCCTGTTTGCTGTAGGAGTGAATGAGTACATTGGATCTGCTGGCTTCAGTGCTGTGAAGAAGGGAAAGCACTCACCGTGTTACTCAGCTGTACTGTAGAGAGGCTGAGTAGTTAATCCAGACCTCCAAGATCCTTTAAACCTTTGGTCTCCCGTTTGAGCTGGACAATTAATGTGCCTTGTGATACTGGTTCATGTGAAGTGAAAGGGCAGTGTTTTGTAGTGAGAGCAGGATGAATGGGAGGCAGTGCTCGAGGGTTTTATTCCTGGCTCTGCTGTAAGCCTTTGAAGAAGTCACTTGATTTATCTAGGTCTGATTCTTCTCTAACAGCATTTTCAAACTACTGTTATCTGCACTTTTGGAAAAAGACATATAAGTGTGCTGCACAGAAATAACTAAAACCCTGCATGATTTAATGGTGAGTTATACTCCCTTGAAATGCATTCAACACCACAACAAACTCTTTCTATAGGTTTTGTGAGTAGTTTCTTGTGCTTGCTAAAATCAGTTATGTAGTACAGCCTTTTTTGCAAGGAATTTTACAAATAGCGTTAGTTTAGTTTCTTCTAATGAAGAAGAAATTGTCTTTTCAGATGAAAAACATTTTTAAAATATTGCCTGAATTCCCTCTCCGCCCCCTCGTATATCCCTTGAAATGTTTACCTAGAAAAAGAAAGATTAGATCTCTATCCTTTTTTCCGCTGACTTTTTTTTTCAGTTTTCTAAACAACATTTTCCCTGTGTTGAGGGGAAGAAAAAAAAGAAAACCCTTCCCAGGAAAAACAGTAGAATGTAAACAACTATTTTAAAAATTCTTTTTAGCCAGTCTAAGTTTTGTGGTTATAAAAATATTTGTGCTCATTCACCATACTTACCTCTCTGTCTTGGAAGATTATGGTTAAGCTGACGTGTAGGATCTCCTGTGACTAAAACAGCCTGGTAGCACCACATGCAAAGAGATCAATCATTCACTCACCCACGTTTGTGTAATTACGCTCTATATTTTCAGGCTCTAGTAGTTCAACACACCGCTCCTGGCTTTGGCAAACAAATACAACTCTTGAAGAAACGTTGCTTTCTCCCCATACGCTGGGTTTGCACGGATAATGCAGGTTGTGAGTTTACCACCATTGCTCATCTGTAAAATCAGAGAGGGATGTTAGCACATGATGGATTCAGAGATCAAAACCTGCAGTGGTATTGGGTTTGCCAGATAAAACCAAAACCTGGGAATATTGGGCTAGAGGAGTCAACCTTTGCAGAGGTGATCTGGACAGCTAGGGCCTGGTTTGGGTCCCTAAAAATGTAAGGGGGTATCCAGTTTGGTTTTTTGTTTTTTTTCTTCATAGCACACCTTGCACCCATGTGATGGTCACTGAGAGGTGTTGGATGGAGGGTGCTAGTGGCATTAACCCTTTCTGCAGTTGTGATGTATAAACGAGTGTTTGCAACAACCAAAATCAGGTACCAGAGGGAGCCAGCTAAGCTGGCTGGCCTCAAACTGTAACCGGGAGAGAGAGATGCTCCAGGCAGTGATTTAGGACAGAAGACTTATTTTTACATTCTGCTTCATCCTCTAGAAGAACTCATCTGTCTGCCGACTGTACTGGCAGTCTAAAAAGACTAGCCAGCTAACTTAGGTAGATGGCTGACTCTGGGTACACTAATTTTTTTTATTCTTAAATCACTCGGGCATGTCTGAAAATTTCACCTTTATGCAGTATGAACTAGGTGAACCTGGTTTCTTATGCCCTAATTCAACACAGCTCTTTCCAAAGTCACACTCCTTCAGGTGGAGTTAAAGCACAGGCTCAAAGGGCAGCAGCACCCTTTGATCTTGCGAGAGTTTGGCAGCTTCCTGATGATGTGGGAAGATCAGGCATTGGTAAGCTTAGGGCAACGTGGTTTATGCATCAAGTCAAGGCAGCAGCTGGATACACGCTAAGATAGGAGTTGTGGGGTCTTTCTAACAAGCTCTCTTCTTCCACCCATCCTGTGCTGTAATACCGGGGTGCTACCATTGACTTTTGCACCTTTTCTCCATTGGCTTCAAAGACAAGTTTTTCTGCCATGGCCTTTGTCTTCCCCTAAGGCAGCTCCACTCCCCCACTGTATTTGGTGTCCTCATTTCCTCTGAAGTAGATTGTGAGAGATGGTGAGTCACCATGGAGTAGGGCACAGGGCTTGGAGACATTTGTCACAGTGTGATTTACTCTGCAATCCCTGCTCTCCAGGGACTTACCACTGGCTGCGAGTTATACGAATCTGAGATCCTTGCTGCAGTTTGGGAGAAATAAGGCCTCAGGAAATACCAGGTGGTTCTGGGTGTTCATAGGCAGGTTTGCATGAGGGCAGTGGTTTGATTTCTGAGAGCTGGATTTTTGTCTAATAGTGTGATTGAAGCAAACAATATTCTGGCGTGCAAATTAGAAGGCAGTGGAATTACCTTTTAAAGCAACTCACAAGTGGCTGAACAAGATAGAAAGAGCACAAGAAGATGGAGGGCAGGAAAATGAGAGCAACCCTACTTCATTTTTTCATTAGAGGTAGAGAAAAGCCTCTCATGAGCCATAAACTAAAAGGAGAAGCCGCTGCTTAATTTTCTCACAGCGTTGGGAGATGTTTGCCGGTAATGTGATAGAGCTGCTAGTGATCTCCTGGAAGACATGCAATCAGCAGGTTTGTGCTGGGATTATTCCTTCATGTTCCCTAGCAAATTACACTCGAGGGGAAGAGCAAAGAAGTGGACGCAAGATTAAGGGCAAGCAGGGCTCGCAGCCGTGCTGGGGACAGTTGGTTGCCACTGTGGAAGACAACCTGCTCCTCAGCCTCCTAACTTACAGCTGCAAGGAGGAAAGCCCATGGGATCTAGCATGTAACTGGCCTCACAGGGCCTGAAATAATTCCAAGGAGAACCAAGAAAGCAGCTCTGTTCCCCAGCGGGGCGCTGGTGTTTTGTCGCAGTGGTTCTAGATCAACGTTAGTCCATTGCAGGATTTGGTTAAGCAGATTCAGTGGACTCTGGAGGAGCTGGGGAGCGAAAAAACCTTGTTTGAAACACTGGGAGGGACCATCCATGAAGACCATGTGTCTGCTTGCTCCCCTGCTGCCATGACTAGCAAGGATAGGCTCTCTCTCCCTCTGTGTGCTGCAGGAGACTTTCTTCACATTTTTAAATTAATTTACATTTTGCTCTCCTAGAGAAATTTACCCTAGTCAAACACCAGGCTCTGCCAGGCATGGGGTACTCCCCCCCACGGCAGTGAAGAATTATCATGCTTCTTTTGCAGATGGGGCTTGGATGCACCTCTTGGAAGGGTTCAGTGGCCTGTGATGAGTTCATGCAGCAAATCTGCAGCAGAGATCTTTTTGTCAAACACTGGGCCTTGGGAGAGCAAGCTCTGACTCAGGCTCCATGTTTGACCTTGGGCAACTTGCTTGCTCTTTTCTATGCTCAGATCTCCTTGTGTAAAGCGTGAATATTGCTGTTGCCTTTCTCTTGCCTGTTTGGCAGTCTTAGTACCTTGTGTGTCAGATATCCCAGCTGAGATTAGGGCCTTCTTGTGCTACAGCAACAGAAATAAATTAGAAGCATCAGAAATACAGCCTCCTCGCACACCCTGGGCTTTTATCACAAAACCCTCCTCCCCTTCCCTGTGTTTACGGGTGATGAGCAAGAGACAAACCAGAAAACAAGCAAGACAAAAGATTGATTGTGCATGGTTTGTTGCAAGCCCGGGAGAGGCCCAAGACAATTAGGAGGGTTATCTAGAAGTTCTAGTTTTAATTGCTTTCTTTTTTTAATCCAAATTTATTTTTTGCCTTGCAAAGCTTTTAAAAAGCAGCAGCTTCACAAAGGGGCAAACCTGCCTGCCGTTCCTGGGCTGCAGAGCTCTGCTCGTGTTTGCCTTCCCCCACCCCTTTTGAAGCTTGGTAGTAACAAAGAGCTCAGCATAATGCTCTTGCTTTTCAAAACGATCACAGATAACTGAACGCTAATAAGACTGGAGCAGCATTGTCAGAAGGTATCTCAGTGGTGGCTGTCTCAGAGGGATTGAGACTGACAGAGGCATTTTCTATTATTGTCGGATGCTGAGGTGTGAGCATTATCCCTGCACCCATCACCCTGTCCAGAGACTAATCATGCTTCGTCTGTGTCAATTCCCAAGCATGTAAAAGTGAGTTAAATAAAATTATACAAGGAATGATGGAGAAAGGGGACGGAGCAAACAAAAAAGGCAGGCAGGCAGGATCATAGACTGTGAGGGAGAAGAGCAGAACAGATTGGGTGGGCACAGGGGAGATGAGAAGAGGAGGAAGGGGAAAGCTCCATCACCTGTGCCTTCAGTCTGGAAAACAGAGCCATATTATGTTGCCTTCCAGTCTTCACTGGGCTCCCTATTGAGACAAGTGGTGGTGGTGTAATTTTTTCTGGGGGTCTGACCCCTCTCTCATTTTGTATTCTGTAATTCCCTTAGTTTAAAATCAAAATTGTTGGAGAACGGGGACCAGCCTCTCAGGCTTTCTCCCAGCATCATGGGAGAACCTGAGTGTGTTCTGCAAAATGAGTTAAAAGCTCTAGGTGGTGGTTTTATTTGCATTTGTGGTGGGGAAGGATTAGGAGTTGGTGGACAGAGGATGTTCATGTGTAGCTCTATGAGGATCAGCCTGGATGGGTTATTGCTTGCACCCGTTGGTGCCATCATTACAAGCCAAAGGACTGTCCTCTCAGGCGAGATTTGGGGTAGATTTTTCAAGACATCTGCTCACATCTATCTCATAAATCACAGGACTAAAATACCAACAAGGATGTGTCTGTGTCTACATTCATTTTTAGAAATGATTTAGATATGCTAATGACCAAATTCCATAGCTTTTCAGTGACACAGAGCCTCTAGTGCTCATGGTCCCAAGTGGATTGAGGTTTGTTGCTGTCATGGATTTTTTTCATAAACCAGACATTTATTCTACGGATTTGGGTGCTTAAACGCTTTTCAAAACAACTGGGTTATGCCTTAGCTTACTTGTGAGTATGAAATTTAGGCTTGTAGGTCATTTTAAGTTATGTCTTAAGCAGCCCTTTCTTGCTGGGCTCAAATTTCTAGAGCCAAATGACTGAAGGTAGCTGTGTCTACACTGGCTGCCTGTAGAGACAAAACTTGACTTTGAGCCACTTCCCCTTGCACACAAGTTTCCATGGTTCGAGCAGTCTGTATGGCTACAACCATGCTTGAAATCAGCAAGGAGCCTTACAATGGTACGTATCAGACTGCAGCTATCTCTACTTGACTTCAAATTTAACCTAAAACTTCAGCTCCTGGTCTTCAGAAATATCAGCCCAGGTTCTCAAGGTGCAAGTACTGTTGCCCCATGAATACAAAGGGTATCTAGATGCTGAGTCCTGAGCAGGAGTGTCAGCCGATTGTGAAAGTCGGTTCTGGATATCAGAGATCTATAAGCAAAAAACCTCTCCAAATCATAATTTTGACCACTGTTTTTGTATTGCTCCAAATCCCACCTTTGCTGCAGGAGGTATTCTGAAGCTCTGCTGCTTCTTCTGGGTCTGTGGGTCAGTCTCATAGGAGCCACAGACAGAAGAGATGGGTTGAACATAATGCCCAAAAGTATAAAGTCCAGGAGTTAGCCCTGGTAAACATATTGCCAGCAAAAAGGATTTTGAGGGATAGAAGGGTGCAATTTACAGGTCAGATCCAGGTCACAGGAGAGTGTAACTACACGTGAATACTGCAGGGCAACTTCACACCATATGCATCTGTCCCCTAAGACTATGTGGCCAACTAACTTTCTTCCGAGATAGTGCTAAAATAGTTTGTATACATTTGACCACATTTGATAATAGGAGCTGGGTACAGGCTTGCTAGCAATTCACTATGGAGGTGAAAAGAGGAGGGACGGTGGGTTGGTAACAGTAGAGCATCACCTACCCTTTGGCTTGACTCAGTGTGAGGGGAGAGCAAAAACTCTGATCCAACAGCAGAATACAACTTGACCGTATCACAAACTTCAAGCATCTGAGACCTTATCTGAAACTGATTTTAGGGCTTAGAGGAGCTGGGCTGTATGTACAGGGGACAGCCTGGAGGTGCCGTTGGGTCATACATCTCTCTACCAACTCTTTCAATCGGTGGAATCCACTACTGGTCAAGTTTAGGTTGGGAAGAGGTGTGGTTCCTGAAAGTGAAAAGCAGCAAAGGAGGATTTTCAAGAAAGAGAAGAGGAATTGACTGGAAGGGGAACACATCTTCTCCTTTGTAGCCACGGCAAAAATCTCCATCTGGTTGCAGTTTCATTGCTGTTTAACCGGAAATCCAGAGTGATGGAGATTTGCTTAGCCTTACCTGAACATGGGCTCATGCGATGTATTGGGTCCCACCGCAGCAGTGGAGCTCGTGTAGACAACATATGGGATGTTCAGGACACAGCAGGCCCTTAACACATTTTCAGTACCTGTGGGGCAGGTTGGGAAGGACAAACATTAACCACCTTGCCTTGATTCCTGTTGTGCAAATCAAAAGAGATTTCCAGGCTTGGGATTCTGACTTGGAACAGATCCATCTTTTTTATGGCTGAAAAGATGTAAAGCCATGGGTCAAGGCTGCAGTTCCTCAGATATGTTTGCACAGGCAGGGATGGTTTATAACATGAGAGTAGCAGTTACATCTATAGCTATAATGTGGCTTAACCTTGATGGCTATTGACAACTGACTTAACTTGGACTTAATAGTTGCTAACAAAAAGGAAGCTGACAGCTCAGCAGAGCAAAACTCCATGTTTTCCATCTTTTTTGATTCATGGGCAGACTGTCAAATAGTGAATTACAGCCTTCTGGCAAAAGGATTGATGTTTTAGTTGCATATATTGCTCTATAGAAGTTCTGCAGGATGACTATAGGGTGAAAATCATTGCAACAGACTCTTGGTAGCTGCAGAATTTTAAATAAAATAGTGGTGGGCAGCTTACAAGTCCACGTGAAATCCAGATGAATCTGAAGCATGGTTTGGTTTAAGAAAGGTTGTTCTGGCTGAACTTGTGGGTCAGTGTGCGTGGTTTTTGTTTGCTTGGGGGTTGGGAGTGTGTGTGTGTGGTTTAAATAATTTGACTCTTCCAGGGGTGGTTTTTGCATTCATCATGATTTTGATTCAAGTTGATTCTACAAGAACCTCAATGACGACAGCATAACCATGGTTGCATACTGAGTGCCTTCAAATCTGATAAGGCAGATATTAAAGGAAGCCGCTCATAGGGTTGGTTTCCAGAAATCCCCATACTATTTAGAATCATAGAATTGTCTAGGTTGGAAAAGACCTTTAAGTTTATGAAGATCATCAAGTCCAACCGTTAACCTAGCACTGCCAAGTCCACCACTAAACCATGTCCCGAAGCACCACATCTAGGGATGGTGACTCAACCACTTCCCTGGGCAGCCTGTTCCAATGCTTGACAACCCTTTCGGTGAAGAAATTTTTCCTAATATCCAATCTAAACCTCCCCTGGAGCAACTTGAGGCCTTTTCCTCTCGTCCTATCATTTGTTAACCTGGGAGAAGAGACCGACCCCCACCTCGCTACAGCCTCCTTTCAGGGGCTTGTAGAGAGCGATGAGGTCTCCCCTCAGCCTCCTTTTCTCCAGGCTAAACAACCCCAGCTCCCTCAGCCGCTCCTCATCAGACTTGTTCTCCAGACCCCTCACCAGCCTCGTTGCCCTTCTCTGGAGATGCTCCAGCACCTCAATGTCTTTCTTGTAGTGAGGGGCCCAAACCTGAACACAGTGTTCGAGGTGCGGCCTCACCAGTGCCGAGTACAGGGGCACGATCCCTTCCCTGCTCCTGCTGGCCACACGATTTCTGATACAAGCCAGGATGCCATTGGCCGCCTTGGCCGCCTGGGCACACTGCCGGCTCATGTTCAGCCGGCTGTCGACCAGCACCCCCAGGTCCTTTTCCACTGGGCAGCTTTCCAGCTGCTCTTCTCCAAGCCTGTAGCATTGCATGGGGTTGTTGTGATCCAAGTTTATACTGCTAATCAGGCTCTGCCCTTGAGCTTTGCTGCAGATCTTGCGTGGGAGGGCTTGTGATTTCTCTGTTCTCTTTGTTAAGGGCATAATCTGAAATTGTCAAGGGAATCCTGAGTTCAGGATAATTTCAATTTGAAGACCTGGTGGAAAAGAATAAATTTACTTCTCCATGAGCCTATCACAATATGTAAAGTTAACTGAGAACCCCTGTTGAGAAACATCACTGGAAACAGCTGAGTTAAAATCCATTCAGCTTAACAAAAAGCAGATTAAAAAGTCTTTAAGTGTCTAGATGGAAAAAATAATTCTTGTAGAAGAGGGCTCTTCAATCTAGTCAACAAGACTATAACAGGATTTGGCAGCCAGTGGTTGAAACAGAAGAGAGAATCAAAGCAGAAGATAGACGTAAATTTTTGCCAGAAATGGTAATTAACCATAGCCACACTAATACTCTTCAGCATTGTTAACAGCTTGCTGCAAGACATGATAGATAGCCCATTAACTTGCAGTCCTTAATTCTAGGCAAAAAGTCTTTTGAAAAGGCATAGTCCAATTTAGCCACAAATTGTTGGGCTTAAGGCAGTAATTGGATGAATTTCTGTGGCCTGAGTTATACAGAGGAGCCAGCTAGAGGATTATATAGTTGACCTGTCCTGACCCTATTTTTTTTTCTCCATGAAGTCTCCAGCAGGTATCCAATACAGTTCATTTTTATTCTTTTACCTGCTATGATTTTAATAGAAAACCTTAGACTAATCTCTCCGTTCAAGATTTCGAGAAGTCCTAGTGAGGGCAGCAGCTTCATTTTAGGGAGGTCTACACAAAGCCATCCAAGGGGAGGCAGAAATGCGGAACAGTTTGTCTCTGAAAATAAGGCTCCTGTTAAGACATCTCAAACCGTGCTCCTCAAAGAGGCACTCAACCACCAGTCACATTGGAAAAAACTTTGCGTGTGTGGTTTTCTTGGGAATGTCGCAACATCTGCAAGAGGTTTGGTTTGCTGAATAGGGGAGTTGCCCAATGTTCACTGCTATCTGTAAAAACCTCACTACGCTTAAGTACCTTGCTCATAGCAAAGAGACAATGAAGAGGAAGATCTCACAAAGCCATTAAAAGGCAGCGGGAACCCTGAGGCTCTGAATATTCTCAGTACACATGCACAATACAGGCTCTTAAAAGCATCTGGTTTCGAAAACAACTACAGCAATGAAAAGAAGGATGGAATTTAAATGTTGCCCTTGAATGTATCAGCAAATAGTAGAAGCCCTAAGCAGTAATTGAGTTTGAGAGAGAGAGAAAAAAAAAAAAAATTCCTTCCTTGTGGTTAACAACTATTTTAGTAGCTAACAGCCTGAGGTGCTATTGGAATTGCTGCTGTAATAGGGATTTCATTATTTTTATAGCCTTTGCTTATTTCCTAGATTTATGAACAAATTTTCTTTAAGCAGATCTTGCACCTAACAAGAAATCAGCTCGGTGATAGAAAGAAAATGTTGTGGAGCTCTCAGTTATGTGTGGCTTATAGACATGTAATAGTTGTGAACTCTGACTATAATTAAAATAACATCACTCCCTTAATAGCGTGGATGCAGTTCAACTCGTATAGTCTTGCACTGGGATATAGTGTAGATTTTTCTCCCTGGAAATCCCTGGGAAAGCTATAGGCTATCTAGAACAGGAGTTAACTTAATTGCTGTCCTTGTCACATACTAAACAGTTTCTTACCACTATGAGCATGTTCTGAATCACCTCAGTACTATTAGTGAAAGTTATACCCTTGACCAGAATAACTATATAACAACTGGGTCCAGATTTGACTTTCTAAGACGAAGCTTTACGGGTGGAGAGGAGCAGCATGGCATGCCCCGAGCAAGGACAGAGGGGCAAAGGCAAAAACTTCCCTGTTGGAAAGGAAAGGTCCCGGGCACCTTTCTCATCTCATAGCAGAGTGGTGCATGTGAAATTCAGGGGACAAGGGAGCACTAAATCAGAGAGGGTATGTTTGTCATAGCATCTCGTATGACAACACCAAGGCATGTGAATTTAAGGCTGTATTTAATTGCTTGTTTTAAAGAGCTTACCCCCAACATTGACAGCTCTCATTTCCCAAAAGGGCACAGTGTTTCTGTAGTCCACAATAGCAGCTGTGTGAATAACCACGTGAACTCCCCGCGTGGCAGCAAGGAGCAGATTGTAGTCTCGAATGTCTCCTTTCATCACTGTCACATGAGTGGTAGCTGGAGAAAAATAATATAACCATAGATGCAGGGGTGAAAAAAAATACAAATTGGCACCCCCACCTTCTTGCAGAATGAGGATCCTGCTTGGAAAGCTTTCTTCTCTGCAGGGCAAGCTGAAGCACACTCTAACTAATGACTATGCTATTTGAATACATCACACCAGGGGAAAATACATCCCTATTTTTGAACCCCAAGAAGCCAGATCCACATCTGGTTTAATTCAGCACAGCACTTTGCCAGTTTGCACCAACTGTGGGTCAGAATAACTGTGTCTGCAATTGCAAATCTCTAGCATGCATCCAAGGATAGCACTGAGCAAGAATGGGAGACTGTTGGCCCAGAGCTGCAGCTGGTTACAGGACTTGCTCTAGTACGTGTGAATGAGTGAAGCTGTGCCGGGCAATTTCCTTAAGACAGAAGATTTTTAGAGCTTACTGGGAATAACATCAGATGTGTTCAAGGGACATTGCACAGAGCTTTATTTAAATTGCAAATGCTATAGATGGGAAGGGAAAATAATGTAACGGATTAAAAAGTTTCATAGGAAATTCCTCCCTTTAAGCCATTCAGAAGGGTTCCCCCCCCCCCTTCTCCCTCAAAATAGCTGTTCCATACATGGCTACTGTTGGCAACTACTGCTAATTTTCTTGCTTTGAGACAGTGTTGTAACATTAAAGTGGGATTTTTCCCTTTTTCCTTTTCTGTAGTTGGGAATAGGCCAGCAAGAAGCTGGGGTTGGAAAGCTGTACTCCTTGGGGCTTTCATAATGAGCCAGACAGCAGTAGCAGTCGCAGGACTGCTTTGGGAAGGAGATGTCTCCTCTGCCCTGCACTGGCAGCTTCCTGGAGAGTCCCATGCAGCCAGGGATCAGGGTAGTGATTTCTGAAGGATCATGCACATGAGCAGCTCAGGGAAGAGTCTGTGACTCCAGCTGTAGAAGTGTTAAGATACAGAAACCCTCAGCGAACAGCTATCAGGACAAAGGGATAAAAGAACAGGGTTATTCCTCATGAACTCAAAGGAGAGACAAAATTCAAGGTAGTAGGTCAGCTGGGTGAGCATTTGCTAAGAAGTACGGCATGTAGGAAGAGGCAGAAGTTTTACAAAAGGGTCAAGCTGATTTCTTAATTAGCATAACGAAGATTTGGTGGACTAGCTCATAGGAGTTTTAATATTAAATTAATTTAATATTAAAGCACAGAGTTGATTCAGCAAGAATAGAGCGGAAAAAGAAAGAGGGCATTGCCCATGTAGCAGAGGTAATACACTT